TGGAAGGAAGATGGGGCAATCTACTTCTGTAGTGATACTGCCTTGGAAACCCAAGGAGGGGTCGCTATGAGTCGGGTCTGACTCGATGGCACACAACAACAACAACAGTATTTTCTTTGGTAGTGTAGAGCCTAAGACATTTGACTGCTAACCAGAAGGCTGGCAGTTCAGACCTATGAGCCACTCCTCAGAAGGACGGTTGGGCAGCGTACTTCTGTAGTGATACCGCCTCGGAAACCCAAGGAGGGGTCGCTATGAGTTGGATCCGACTCGACGGCAGTGCATTGTGTTGTGTTTTATTGCAGTTCTACATCCCTTTATTTTTCATTTATTATTTTTAAAATATGTATTAAGTTTGGGTGTAGGTATAAAGAAATGAAATGTCTTTCAAATATTATATACAGTATCTTTGCTGTTGGCTGCCACCCAGTCAGTTCTGACAGCAACCACATGCACAATGGAACGAAACGCTGCCTGGTCCTGCACCAGCCTCACAGTCCTCGCTGTACTTGAGCCCATCGTTGCAGCCACTGTGTCAGTCCATCTCGCTGGGAGCCTTCCCCTTTTTCACTGACCCTCCACCTTACCAAGCATGATATCCTTCCCCAGGAAATGGTCTCTTCTGCAACATGACCAAAGTAGGCCAAAGTCTGGCCATTCTCGCTTCCAAGGAGCATTCCAGCTGCACTTCCTCCAGGACAGATTTGTTCATTCTTCGGGCAGTCCATGGTACTCTGAAAATACCATGGCTTGGGTCAGGTGCACCTTAGTCTTCAAAGTGACATCCTATGCTGATAGGCAGATAGACAACATTGTCTTAACTGTGATTTTAAAGGGCATATTTCTAACAACTTACAAATGATAAGGAGCTTGCTGTAACTTTTTTGTATGCACTCTTACTTTTCCCTGAAGAAAGCTCCTTCTGTTCCCAGAAACGCAGGATGAACTTCTGCAGGTCATCTTCCCCTGTTGCCACCCCAGTGGCCTCAATCCCCAGCTGGTATGTTTCCGTCCCACCAGAGACAAAGGCATTTTCTCCAGTAAGCTTGGTGGGTGACAGGTCTAGCACATGTCCTTGTCCCTGGACCCTCATATATCCCCACTGAGGTCCACAAGTCAGACCCTATTGCTCTATCACAGATGATGAGGACAGTGAACTGCTGAAGGCCAGGTACTCTGAAAATGGGGCAGAGTGTGGATTTGAACTCAGACCTTGTGAGTGCAGATCTTGAGCGTTTTGCATGGTGTCTATCCTAATGAACGTGTTTTCCACCACTGTTAGTGCATCGCAGTGTGGTGGCTTGTGTGCACTGTGAGGCTGGAGGCTGTGCCACCAGTATTTCAAATACCAGCAGGGTCACCCATGGTGGACAGATTTCAGTGGAGCTTCCAGACTAAGACAGACGGCAGGCAGGCCTGGAGATTCACTTCTGAAAATCAATCAGTGGTAACCCTATGGACCACACAGAACACTGTCCAACACGGTGCTGGCAGAGGAGCAGCTCGGATCAGAGGCACTCGGATGCATGGTGGTTACAACACTGGGCTCAGGCTTACCAGTGAGGGTGGTGCGGGACCGGGCAGCATTTTGTCCTATGTGGGCTGGGATGTGGCCGCCACGTCTTGGAGACGACTTGGAGGCACCTAACAACATCAACAACGTGTTCATCTTTTCTCTACTATTCCTTTCATCACTCTCTCCTGGTCTGATGCTTATCTTCTCACTTGGTCGATTGTGTCTCTTCTGTGTAGCAGTGGTTAGTTTTGGATGTAATCACATTTGTCACTCTCTTCTTTATGGGTTTTGCCGCTGGGGTTTATTTAAGAACTTTTTTTTTTTTTATCAACTCCAAATTCAAAACATACCAGCCTACAATTTCTTCTAACATGTTTATAGTTCTGCTTCCCTTCTTTCCTCAGTTTACATTTTGTCCTCTAATCCGTATGAAATTTACTATTTTCATGTTGTTAGGTGCTGTTGAGTCATCTCTGACTCATAGTGACCCTATGCACAGCAGAACAAAACACTGCCCA